TCCTTACCCCCTCCCCCCTCCCTGAAACAAAGCCATTACCTTTCTAATGACAGGGTTAAGCTTTTAAAAATGTTGCTCCCTCCTTTGTTAATATTATAAAGCGTGTGGCGGGCTCACAGCTCGCGCAGAAACATGCCCTCCTCCTTTTTATCTCCCCCTCCTACCCGGGGTAGATGGCACCGACGTGGAAAATGCAACGTGGTCTCTTTTCGAGAACAAATCCTAAATGCCTCCGAAGTGAGGAGTCAGGGCTAGAGGAAGCCGTCAGCGGGCCATGGGCAGAGGGCGCTACAATGGCAGTGCGAGTTTCTTCGTTTCGCTTTGGAGGGGGCAAAAACCCCCCAAAACCCCACACATCTCGGTCATAATGGTTTTAAAATGGATACATATATTTACAATTTCAAAAGGGTTCTGCTGTTTCCTGGTAACGCTCACCACAAATGGGAATAATAAAAGATGAAGTATTTTTTCTCACCTTAGGTCATTAGATTTACAGACAAGGCACTAAATCATTTTAGCTCCCCAAACCTTTAAGGAAACGCGCGCACACACATACACACACGCTCGCCCCCGCCGGGGAAGCCCTGGAGAAGAGGAGACAAAACAAACGCGAGGCTTTGCTGAACGGCTCCGTCTAGGAGTTGACAAATAATTTAAAAAAAAAAAAGAAGTTGCGGCGGGCTGTAAAACGCGAAGTGTCAGTGGCCTCTTCCCCAAGCCGTAACACGAAGGGTCATTAATTGTGTTTTCTTTCCCAATCACATGTCACTGCAATTAACAGATTTTGATCAAGAGACTCCTTTCAGATTGATTCCATATGTGATAAGGAATGTGCAGCTTGTTATCTATCTGTCGCCCTGGAATTATGGAAAAGCTTCAAACGTGTAATTTGAAGAGTCTTTTCCTCAGCTCTTTGATCTTGCCTTCTCTCGCTCTCTCTTTCTCCCCCTCTCTAGCTGTAACCCCTTTTCCTAATTCCACGTGTTTTTTGCCCCCCCCCGCCTGTTTGTTCGCTGCTCTGCCCCTTTCCTGTGTTCCCCGCGTGTGGACTGAGAGCGCCGCCAAACGCGTGGGCAGCTCGCAGTGCCCCGGTTCGGCCGGCAAAGGGGGCTTCAAACAGCCAGGTAAGATCCTGCCTAAACTTCCAGCTCCTCTGACAGCTTCCCAATAACTCTCAGCCGTCCGCATCCATCCCGCCAGGCTGCGGCCCTGGCTCCCGCGCGCCGAGCCCCTGCTCTGCCCCGAGCCCGCTGGCACGGGCGCCCCGGGGACAGCGAACGTGTCACCGCGTGAGTCCCGCGTGCGGGGCAGCGGCCGCGCCCGGCTCCGCGA